AGTGTATAAATATATAAAGTAAATTACACGAATGGTCCCTATGTTTGGGGTAATTTGCGCGTTTGATCCCTAATTTATTTTTTTAACTCGGAAGGTCCTTACTGTTTGTTTTTGTTACATGCTTGGTCCCTACTATTTGTTTTTGTTACGCGCTTGGTCTCTGTCTTACCTAAAAAGACTATTATTTAAATAGGGAAAAATAGTGAGTTATGTAAGGTAAGGTGAGGGAGTGGGGTTGGAGGTGTGTTTATTTAAATAAATTAAAAAATCAAGGGAAAAATACTCTTTTTAGGTAAGACAGGGACGGAGCACGTAACAAAAGAAAACAATAGGGACCTTCCGAGTTAAAAAAATAATTTATGGACCAAACGCTCAAATTACCTTAAACCATAGGGACCATTCGTGTAATTTACTCAAATATATAAAAAGAGGGACTAAAATCGACAACTCAAATTTCATCTCCATTTTGGGGGAAATGAATAGTATAATACCAAATATGGTGTTATACTATTCATTCCCCCCAAAATGAGAGAATAAATGGGGTAGGATTAGAGAGAAATGGGGAAAGAAAGGGGGAAAATAATGGAAGATGGGAGTGAGTTGGAGATGCTTTTAAAATTCTTAAATAAGATTTCATATCTCTTGAATGATTCAAGATGAATATGGTTGTGTTAGGCATATTGGTATTCGATATATATTATATCGATATATATATATATATATATATATATATATATATATATATTATATATATATATCTATATATAAAAGTTTATTTGAGACCATACTAATTTTGTGAGACATGGGGACGCGATCCTAACCACTCATCTTTGAGATAAAAAAATAAATAAATAATTATAAAATGCAAAATAATAGGAAAAATCCAAAAATTCTTTTTTTAAATATTATTTTCGTTATTTAGATTATCCAAAAAAATTAAAAATAAAATAAAAATAAAATAAAATAAATCACCGTTTTTTTCGAAATATGAATGAAATATTATAATAGAATATAACATTGTAAATAATCAAATCGAATTTTTAAAATGTTAGAATATTCTAATATTCTAATAAAATTGGTGGATATGTTAAAATATTATAATATTCTACTTGAATTTTAAATTTGTTAGAATATTTTAATATTTTATTAGAATTTTTTTGAATATTTATAGTTTAATATTCTAGTAAAATATTCTAACATTCTAAAAATTCGAATTTAATATTTATAGTATAATATTCTACTAGAATATTTCATGTATTTTTTGAAAAAAAAAATGGTAAATTTTTTATTATTATTTTTTTTTTGGATAAAAAAAATGACGAACATAATATTATTAACTTTTTTTTTAAATTTTCATTTATTTTGCATTTTAAAAATATTTTTTTATCTCTAAAATGAATGGTTAGGATTGCGTCTCCATGTCTCATAAAATATGATGGTCTCACATGAATCTAACCTAGATTACTGTGAGACCATCATATTTTGTGAGACATGGAGACGCAATCCTAACAATTCATTTTGTAGATAAAAAAATATTTTTAAAAATGCAAAATAAATGAAACTTTTTGAATTTTTTTAAATGTTATTTTCGTCATTTTTAATACAAAAAATAAAAAATAATAAACAAATTACTTTTTTTTCAAAAAATACATGAAATATTCTAATAGAATATTATACTGTAAATATTCAAATCGAATCTTTAGAATGTTAGAATATTCTACTAGAATATTAAACTATAAGTATTTAAAAATTTTTAATAGAATATTAGAATATTCTAACAAATCTAAAAATTCAAGTAGAATATTAGAATATTTTAAAATATCCACAAAATTTAGTAGAATATTAGAATATTCTAACATTCTAAAGATTCGATTTGATTATTCACAGTGTAATATTCTATTGGAATATTTCACTCATATTTCGAAAAAAACGGTGATTTTTTTTTATTTGTATAATTTATTATTATTTTTTTGGGTAAATTAAACAACAAAAATAATATTAATTTTTTTTTTTTGGATTTTTCATATCATTTTGCATTTTATAATTTTTTTTATTTTTTTATCTCTAAAATGAGTGGCTAGGATCGCGTCTCATGTCTCACAAAATTAACATGGTCTCAAATGAATCTCTCTCTCTCTATCTCTCTCTCTCTCTCTATATATATAGATATATATATATATATATATAATATATATATATAGCTATATATATATATATATATAGAGAGAGAGAGAGAGAGAGAGAGGTGGGTTCAATTGAGAAAATAAAAAAGGTTGATAATGGGGGAATCATTCTCAGCCACTCATTTAATCTAAGCATAAAAAGACACGGTGGCAAACTTGTAAATATGTTAATAACCTTCAATCTCAAATACGTAACTATAGAGAATTCGATAATAGTTCGTTCATCATCAAAATTTCTCCTCCAACCTTCAACAATCATCCAGATTTCTTCAACTAAACCATCATCAATGTCATCTAGTGTTAATCAATCATCGATATTTGTGGCTGGAAAGTTCGCCGTTCAAGACAGATTCGCAACCCAAATTCATCAATTTCATCGATTTCTTTGTTGAATACTCCGAATGTTCGTAGCTTGCAAGCATTTGTTAAAGTTCATAACGGATTTGGAACTGGAATTTCCCAGATTCGCAAACAAAATCAGTTGGAATCGGAATTTCTTCGCTGTTCATGAAATTGGAATCGGAGTTCTGGACTCGCAGTCACAGTCGACATTGAAGGACTCAGAATCAGTACTCACAGGTTCCCAATCGGATTTTCGGAAATCAAAATCAAAATGAGAAATCGATCAGACATAGGATGTCGCATCTGAAGTCGAAATCGGAAGTATATGATGATTTGGAATTGATAACTTGATGTTTTTAACATTTTTAAAATAGTTAACTTGTATGCACTCCAACTGTTTGATGAAATGCATAAACTAAATTACCACGTTATATTCACATATGAATATGTTTTCTCACCTGAATCAGTATATGATTATTAAAAACACAAAACAAATATGCAAGTATGTATGTTATTCATATGTGAATAACATATAAAAATTATATATATTTGTCAAAATACCTTCTAATATTCATAAGTGAGTATATTCACAAGTGAATATACCTTGTAATATTCATATGTGAATATATTGTGTAATATTCATAAGTGAATATATCATCTAATATTCACAAGTGAATATACTATGTAATATTCACATGTGATATATCATGTAATACTATGTAATATTCACATATGAAATATCATTTAATATTCATAAGTGAATATACCATCTAATATTCACAAGTAAATATACTATGTTAATATTCACAAATGAGTACATCGTCCAATATTTAAATATGAATATACTATGTTTATTATATGTTATATTTATATATGAATGATACTTAAATTGTAAAAAAAAAAAAAAAATCATACTTTTTATTCATAAGTGAATAACGAATGTACTGTAATAAAAACTGATGTATTTTTATTCACTTATGAATAACGATAGCTGAAAATATAAAAACTGATGTATTTTTATCTTAAAACTATATCAATATGGATGTCTATTTATAGAGAATAAAAAATCATGAATTTTGGTATATTTAAAATCATTTTTTGATAAAAATAGCTTCTAAAAATTAAAAAAAAAAAACGAAAAAAACTATGTTTTTGTATATATTAAGGTAATGATTAGCATAGTTTAAGGAAATATGTTTTGTTGGAAAACACATGTCTATTCATTTCCCATTTCCGCTGGTACGACGGGGGCTTTTGCGGCAAAAATAAATGAGTGGCAAAAATAAATGAGTGGCTGAAAATGATTCTCCCATTCTCAACCTTTTTTTTTCTCAATTGAACTCTCCCCTATATATATATATATATATATATATATAATATATATATATATATATATATATATATATATATATATATATATATATATATATATACATACTAGGGATGTGCTTCGGGCCGGAACCGACCTGAACCGACCCGAACCCGAATAACCCGAAACCCGAATTAGACGAAAAGTGGGAACCGAAACCCGGACTGATTATACTAATATGGATTGGTTCGGTTCAAGTAATACGGGTTTCGGTTCGTTTATTAACCCGAAAGGACCGAAATAACCCAAACAAACATTTACACTATGTTTTTGAACCGAATAACCCAAATAAACCGAAATGACCCGAATAACCCAAATAAGGAAATTCTATATTTAGTTCAAGAAAAAAATATTAAATTAATGTTTTTTTCTTGAACTAAAAATAGAATTTCCTTATTTGGGTTATTCGGGCCATTTCGGTTTATTTGGGTTATTCGGGTCATTTCGGTTTATTCGGGTTATTCGGTTCAAGTGACTATTTACTTTCCGGGTCGGTCTTTTTGGCCCGATTAAACATTTATTCGGGTAATCCGGACCGAAAAACCCGAAACCCGAATTGGGCAAAAATAGATACCCGAGAACCGGCCCAAATAACTTATTCGGTCCTAATTCGGGTCAGTCCGGTCCGGGTTTCGGTTTCGGTTCGGGTATTCGGTCCAAACGCACATCCCTAATATATACAACCTATAAATTATAATTGAAGTCTTTCGCTTTTCTAAATGTTAAATTAAAAAAAAAATAGTATCATTTTGCAAATAAAACAAATTTTTATTATTTCGCTTGCGAATCTCCATACGAAGTTTCAATTTTTATTACCCATCTGTATCAAGTCTCTAACACATTACACATCAACGCATGAGAGAAATACCTAATGTTTACAACTATTAATGCAATTGAATAAAAAATGATATCTTTTCAGATATATTTTAAATTAAAGTAATACTTCATCAATATAGAATTCTAACTAGTTCTAATTAAATGACATAAAATTATGCGCCTGAAAAATAATGGTTGGTTGCTTTTCTTGACAACACACATACACAAACTGACAAACAAACATTTATCTATATATAACCCTCCATCATCTTATAATAGAAGCTGCTTCTCTCCTTACCATGGCTAAGGTTTATCCTCAAGCTCCATCATCATCATCATCATCATCATCATCCTCACCATCATCATCGCCATACTTGAGCTCAAAGCAAGAATGCTTCACAATATGGATGAAATCGCTAGTGTACAACAGCCATGGATGCACTGCATACAATTCGAAAGGTGAAATCATTTATCGGGTCGACAATTATGACAAGAAATGCAGCTCGCAAGTTTACTTGATGGATATTCGAGGCAACGTTCTTTTCTCCATACAAAGAAAGGTATGTATCATATCATACAACTTAATCACTCCATTAATACACCATCTTTTTTGGTTGAAAACACCTTCTAATTCTATGTTTGATAACAGAAATTACGAGTTTTTGGATGTTGGGATGGATACAAGTGGGATTTTTCCAAGAAACAACGATGGTTTCGTGTCACGAGTAAACGTCAAAAGATTCATGTGGATTTAGCATGTGATCAAGGTTACAAGATTGTTAAAAGTGGTGCGAAATTAGGGTTCAAGATTATGAATCTTGATCAAGATAGTGCCTTGGTTGCAGAAATTAAACCAAAGCAAACGGCTACAGGAGTTCATCTTGGAGACGATGTTTTTACATTAACTGTGGAACCCAATATCGATCAATCGTTGATCATGGCGATTGTTATGGTTCATGGTTTGATTCATCGTCAACTTTAAAGTTTCAATTAACAAGATTTGATTGTAGATCTTGTTTATTTTGAGAAAAAAACCGGATTTGATTGCGGGTTCTGATTGATTCAAATTGTAAATGGGACCCACGAAATGAAGATCGGAAAACGAGGAGATTTTTGTGATTAGTTGTAAATCATACAAAGTTTTGATCGTTTTTTTTTTGTGATTAATCATGCTTGAGGTGGTTGTACCTAACATGAGAACTGAGAAGTATATACATATAGCTAAACATAACAGTTGTACCATGTGATATTTGAATTTTAGTCAACATATTTTCTCCAATTTGTTGTAGATGAAATTTTTATTTCTTATTTTATGGGCATGTCTATATAATATATTCAAGGGTTGTAATAGAATGATAATATATTGTTATTTGTCTTGAAATGTATTTTACTAAATTAAAGTGAGACAAAACAAATATTATTTTATTAATTTTAACATTTTGTCTTATAGTTAGAAAAAAAGTTTATTAATACAATATTTAGACATTAAAGACCTTTGTTAACTTACACCATTTAAAAAATTAAAGTCGTGAGCATAAGGTACCTAGATATGTATTTTGGGAATGATTATCTAATTAATGCTTTATTTTTCTCTCAAAACATTATAGCTTACAACTCATGTTAATATAGATGGGTATCTTTTTACGATTGCTTTTATCGTATAAATCTTAAGTCATATTATATGTATCCACTCACTCATTTGAATTTCCAAATCATAGAGGTACACACTATTCCATTCATATAGATGAGAGGGTACAGGAAACAATTGAGGATATGTATATAAATACCCTAAATATTTAGTTAGACACATCCAAACGCAAAGCTATTAAGTTTTTAGTTTATATAAATTGACAACTTTCAAAAAAAATAACAACATATTTTATAATAATACCAATATGGGACAATATATTGCAATTAGTTATCCGTACTTGTATTTTTATCCATATTGTAAATATACCTACAGAATAATATTTTCTATTACTAATATATATATATATATATATATATTCTAATAAATAAATAAGTTTATTCTCCTATTGACAAGTGTCATAATATTAGAAATCTTCATTAATATTATATGTCACATATAATGTCACGTGTCAACCTATTAATTCTCCATTTTAAATTTTAAATTTTAAATTTCTCATTTTAATTACATTAAATTAATAATTGATTAATAGTTGATTCTTAATTTAAAATTTAAAATTTAAAATTTCACACTCTAATTACATTAAATTAATAATATTAGAATAAAAACTAAAATAAAATTAATATATATTATAAGGTGATATAATTTCATGTTTTATCTAAATAAACGATTATAATTTTATATAACTAAAAAATATTTCTTAATTAATAATTTATTTAAAATAATTTGTTTGAAATAATTGATTAATAGTTTTAAGTTTTTACTATGAAAGTTTAGTTAATTTTATAACCGTGGTTCTCACGAATATATATATATATATATAATATATATTATATATATATATATATATATATATATATATATATATAGGGCTAGGTTATAATATGGATGGACAACTATTGTGTGGACGTGTGGATAATGCTATTTTATGAAAATTACTAAGAGAATATGTTATTTAGTAATATGAATACGTTCAATCTCACAGAACTATTGTTATTTTAATGGATTCTCACTAATTCTAATTCATTTTTGTTCTCATTTATCGTTTTTTATTTATTTTAATTTTTACAGAATACGACTCAATAAACATCCTGATAACATTCTGACAGAATGAGAATAATTAAAAAAAAATGTATAATAACCTTATAGACGATTTAATTAGTGAAAATACTTAATAATTAAAATAATTATATAAGATTGAACGTATTCATATTATCAAACAATATATTTTCTTTGTAATTATCACAGAATAGCATTATCCACACGTTCACACAATAGATGTCAATCCACATTTGAACCTAGCTCTATATATATATATATATATATATATATATATATATATATATATATATATATATATAGATATATATATATATATATATATATAAAAAGTTGAAAAGGAGGATAGAAGTTAAGATTCTATGACAGGTTGGAAGAGGGGTTACTATATCATATTTATACACATTATTAATCCAACAAACTATTAATATTATAATATCATCAATTTAAGAATAAATTATAAGACGAATTTTGATTTTCAATAATTCAAGTGATGCATTTGAATATACAAGACACATACAATCAATATAACTAAAAATTGTAACGCACAATTTAGAAATAAATTAATTGAAGAGAATAAAAATGTAATTTCATCATCATAAACTTACTCATCATGCCACATTGATATTCGTACTCATGAGGTGTTTGGACATGAGTTTTCTAAATATAAATAGTTACATAAATCTTTATTTATTTTTAATGATTTTGTTCTGTTATAGTAACTTTTTATTTGTTTTTATTTTGAATCTGATCCTTTTGATAGTTAAAAGTCACAAAATCATATCGACCACCAATTCTGCTAAACACAAAGATGCTAATTATTCCTACTTTAACTCACAATAATCATTATAGCACATATATACAAACAACCTATAATTCTCAACCGTTAAAGAAAACATAACATATAAAAACAAAGCATCCCCATCTGATAAAAATAGTTACCCTCCTACATAACTTTTTGTTTAAAACAGTATTCACTACATGAGATACTTTTACGACTACTACCATCACAATCTTAAAAACTGTATACTGCAAATTTAGTGATGGGTACCCATCAACTTTGCCTTGGTGGCCTAACTCATTATATTTTATTTGGCTACAATAAATACACTTGTCAATTATAAACATACACCATATATGTATGTATATATATCATTATCAAGTAGACAAAGGCAACAAGGGAATAATGTGATGATAAGTAGAAGGGTGACAAAAAACAAGATCACACCACATGGGGAACTTTAAGATTTGAAACCCACATAAATACCTTGAAAAGGTGTAGCATTTGGCCACATGAACATGATCATAAAGATAGAAAACAACATTTTTGGGTCAACACCATGGTCCATGGTAGGAGTGCATTGAGGTGGTGGGGTGGGCGGGGTAGGGTTGGTTAGCTATGATTAAGAAATGGGACATATTAGAAGTTATGGATGTATGAAATGTCTGGTTTGTCGAAATTTATTTCGTTTGAAGTTAATACTAGATTTTGATGTATTTTGTATTGAATTAGACTAGTCTTGAGGTAGAAATAGGGGCCCCAAAAACCCGACAATGCCAGACGGATAAAATATGGACATGTCATGAAGAATATTATCTTGATGAGTCTAAACCTATATATTTCACGAGTCTTTTGACTTGCATATTTTTTTTCAAATTACAATATGACTTACATAGTTGGAGAGGAGTTTATTTGATTCTCCTTGTAATGATCTTTATTAATTCTTATTTTCTTGTTATGATTAAGTTTGATATGATTTTGATGACACCCAAATTATTTATATTTGTACAAAAGTTTTTGTTTGGGACGAGTTTTACAAAATATAATTATGTCTTGAAATATTTTTAACACCATAGAACTTTAAAGCATTAAAAGTATGAGTGTTACTGATGACATTTAATATCCAACCATCCCACCTATCACCATTGAATTTTTTTTTACCTAAAGCATGAAAACAAGATAGCAAATTTATACCAAAATATATCTTCACCTTCGTTTCCATCAAAAATGCCCACAAGCACAAACACTCTAACGATGAAATGAGGTCCGGGGTGAAAGAGATGCATGATAAAGTAACATGGGTCGAGGCGAACAAAAACAACTTTTTCATGCGAGTTTCGTGAACGACATATTATAGATGATGAGTAGTATTGTGTATGTGGGTTGTTGGGCGAAACTATTATTTGTTTGTCTTTTATTTAATAATGTTATGTAACATATTTTCTTATATTAATGTTTTATAACCGTTTATCGTAGTAATGAAAATTTTGTGTTTTATTATCTATCATCCAACAAAATGTTATATTTCCATTTAATGAATAAACGAACTTTAAAGTTTAGAAAATTCAAATAAATCAAAATATAACACAAAGACATAATGTTTGTTCTTATTAGACGTTCTTCTAATTAATAACATAACACAATGACAATGTGTGTTCATATGATAAGGTATTCAAATCACAAGTTTGGTAAACACTTTGGCTTTAGGACCCGTTACTCAAAGCCCCCTTCATACACGATGCGCCTTTCTTACTTGATTTCCACTACGTTTTGATGATTTCTTCTTTGGATTGGGCAAATTTGGTACAATGCCTTCTAGTATGGTATGTTTCGTTACATCGAGTACAATGTTTAATGGTTGGAAGTTGGTATTGCAATGGAAAACGTTAAGTGGCTTTGGGTCTTCCGGGTTGATGTGTGTCCATTATTGGTGGTCTAATAATCATCAAACCATTTGGGTTCTCTCAATCACAAGGGGCGAGAAGAGAGTTCACTTCTTCCTAGTATACCGGTTGATAATAATTATGTGGTAGGCTTTGATAGCCATTTCAGAACAATTATCATGTCTTAAATATCTTAATCACACTTATGATGACCACACGCGAGGCCAAATATTTTCCACTTTAGACAAGTGCATGTTTTTTCCACGACATCAAAAATGCCTTTTTCTCTACCCTCTATGACCTCAAAATTTGAATTTGAAATCGAACATACTGTCCAGTTGGTAGCCTTTCTTGCTCTTTTTCCAACCTTCTTATCTGTCCACGACGTTAGTTTAGTTGTTACTTTTGCTGCATAAAGTGCCAAAATATAATTATTAGTCGCTTCATATTAATGGAAGAAGTAACTAAATATTGTATGTGTAAATTACACTTACTTTATTCCAAGACTTAAAATATAATTGTTGCATGGTCATTCAGAAGAACTCGAGTAGCATCATTAATGGTATCTTTCGATAATGCGTTGATGGACTTCCATTCTTCAAGTTTGTTAC